TTATCATCTTACTGCTTTTTTTTTGCAATTCTATTAAATCACATGCGATATAGACAATGAAATAGTAAACAATAAACAATAGACCACTCATCAATATTAGAAAAATGAAATGTTTCTAATGATAGAGCGCGACGATACACGAGGCCGTGATTGATTCGCAATGTCGGGTACCACAGTATTGTTTCGATACTGTCGTCTAATCAACTGTTTTTTTATTTTTTTTACCACTTCTGGTAAGCAACCAATGCAGACGAACGGTAGAAGGAGTGTGAGCAGCCAGAATAAATAATAGAAGTATATCATTTCAACATAGGCAGCGAAATTGGGTAGTCCAGCAAATATCTCGATAAAACGCACTAGAGCAGAAGGAGATACACAAGCTAGAAAAAGACATGACATACACAAAAGTTGCAAGATCATTTTACGATGTTTTCGCCATTGAACTGGTTGGTGACTACGTGTTCTTTTTCTATACAGGACTCTAATGACAAGACCAGTGCTGAGCAACGCAATGAAACATACAGGAAGGAAATTATGTGCAAATAGATCGTAAAGTGATATGATCGAATCATATGTGTAACACGGTGCATAACAGAGAGGCGCATCGAAATTGATTTTTTCCTTTTTATTGCATGGATAAATTATGATGACCCCAATGTGGTAGAAAATAAGATAGACAATAATTATGAACAAAGGCAAGTAATGTATGAAAAATCGAAGCTTCACTGAGCTGAAAAAATGGGCATGAAAAACCAGCAGATGTCGTTCGAACGAGGCCCATAACATAATCAAATTTACTTGAGCACTGAGAAGATAGCCGCACCATTGCCAGATGAGGCAGTAGACATCATTTCGCGGTGTAACAGTGCCAATATGTAAGTAATGTAGAATGTGGGGTATTACAACTAGATTAGTCAGCAAAGTCACAATGAGTAATGCCAAAATGACATGATTTTGTAATGCAGTGCGAAAAGTTCGATCGGCAATAAGATAGTAAACTAGTAGAAAATTACAAAGAAGAGCTGGTGGTTCGAGTGTAAGTAGAATGCCGAATTTAATTGTTCGTGTGAAAAGAGTATCAGTAATGATTGATGATGCCATTGAACTATGATTAAGAGTATTCATTTCTGTGTGGAAAAAATAATCTAGACTTGTGTCAATTCAATCATATAGAAACTGACAGACTCTCTTATGCCGTCTCCTTCCTTTTTTGTAATTATTTTTCTCTCTTTCTATATTTGCACAATATGAACACGATAGTGTATGCATACGGGTGTCGCATTTCACAATGCATAATAACGATCAAGAACTCTCTGCTCGGTAATCAAAGATTACATAATCTTCACCTTGGTCTTTGATTGACTCTTTCTTGTTTGATTCAGGCATCTTCTATTGTATGTTCTTATGGATTATTCTGTTGACATCAAGAAGATTGAAACGTCATTGCATAGAAACATGAACTAAAATAACTAATGTCGGATTTTTAAAAAAGTTGAGCATCATATTTTGTGTAAGTTTGGATACCATAAAGCTATTGAGGTCGAGTTTCAGAGTTTTAAAGAACTCCTCTAGTTATTTTCGCACATGTCTTGTGAGTTGTCTATTTCAACAGCTTTTCATAAGGATTTTAACTCAGATTACGCCAAATTATACACTAAACCTCAATATGTTTGAGGTTTTTCGTATGACTCATTTTAGTAAACGAGAGTTCTCGAAATGATGCGAACACAATAATGCGTGAGCCATAATACTAAAAACAGTGTCAGTTTGTGATTCGAATTTCCCAATTTTCAGTATTTTGACTGTAACATTCTTAATTCTGCAACAATTTGAAATCTTTTTATCAAAATAATCAGCGTAAAAATCTTTATATTACCAATCTGAATCTGTCCACATCGTTCACAGCTAACTGAGTTAACAGTACTCACCATTCGAATATTGAAAATTCAATAGCAATTTAGGCGAAGTTTGAAGAATTCAATGCATTATACAACGAATGGCTCGAAGTATTGAGATACACCCAGTCAGACAAAACCAATAAAAAAAAACGTGTAAAAACGGGCCAAAAAAAACGCGTTCCAATTCCGAAAAACCGCACATTTAAACGCGTTAGCAACGCTATGTAATTTCGAACGCCGTTTTCCATCGTTTAGAATCGAAACGCTTAATTACTCGTTTGATAACCTAACGGCGTTATTTTTTTTAGAAATATTAATACGTTTTAATGGTGTTAGATAGTACTATGCGTTCATAACGCGTTTAAATGTGCGGTTTTTACGAAAATTTTTTCGTTTCATATTTTAAACGCGTTTTTACATGTTTTATTTCTTGAATGAAGCAATTGCTATAAGATAGAGAAACAACTCAATACTTCGTGATCACTTAAGAGTTTGTTAAGACTATATTTTCTAACTATTTAAAGTGTATGCTAATCGTATAAAGGAAGATGTATCAGTTTTACGTATGAATAGCGTCAAAGTAATTAGAAAAATAATTATTTTGCCTCTATTCATACGTAAACTGATACATTTTCCTGTATACGGTTAGAATACACTTTAAATAGTTAGAAAATATAGTCTTAACGAACTCTTAGGTGATCACGAAATATTGAATTGTCTCTCTATCTTATAGACTTGACTTATTTTATTTTAATGGGAATTAATTATATGTGAATAGATAACTGGCATATACACAGGTTTCGTAACATTCTTTCTTTATCATCTAACAATATTCTATTCTAATGTAAGATATGCTTTGCAGTCATCAACTATACTCTTATTCTACTACTGTCTACTTACAAATCTCTGATCGCAATAAAAAAATAATAAATTGATTGTTATGAAGGAGAGTGAAGAAAAAAAGGAAAACCTGATATAGTTGATGATGCTAAGTCGACTGTTCCTATGACTACTTGATCTAACGCAAAGTTGACTAAAGTATCGAACTTATTTCTTTTTCTTTATGCAAGAATCTTTGTCATTTGACTATACTCATCCTGTCTTGACTTAATAAAAAGAAACCTTTTTGTATGAGGATATTTCTGCTTCGTAATCAATGTAATAGATTATCAAGCGGAAATAATATCATAGACCTACTCGAATGATAGAAATATGAGTGACTGCATAAAAGGAAACTATGAAGCAATCAATAAACACAAGAAAGAACGAATTTGAATGGAAAAAATCGACTGAAAAAATAAAGAGAAAAAACAGAAAAAACATGTTAATGTTCTAGATACTTGTCGCGACATAGAAATTTCTTTTTTCTACATTCTTATTATCTGCTCAACTTGGTATAAAGATGCTTAAGAAATTATTCAGAAGAGGATTTTAAAACGCAGTGAAAGTTTCTAGAGAGTATATGAATTGTAGAAGTATATGGTGGACCCTCTGCAGATGTCAGGTAAATAAACGCGTTTAAACGCGTTTTCTTAAATACATCCCCTATTTATTCTTCTGATAATGTCTACTATTTTCGTCTGAAAGAAATATTATTTTAAATGTTTCCAACTAATACTCTAGATAGCATATCGCTAGAAAAATGGCGAGCATCAAATGATTGGTTGTTAGTATTAACTAATACAAAATAAAGTAAGGAGATAGATATTGTGATAGTATAACCAGATATAAAGGTTATAAAGAAATGTCCCTAACTTTAAGATCCAACCTATTTACTAGTTATTGTTTACGTACAGAAACAGGAGTGCATTGTAAAAGAAAAGATTTCTTTAGGATAACGATACATATATAAAGGGACATTCAACAATGATATTAAAGATTACATGTAGGGTGTGGGTGGGTGTTTTTGATGAAAGAAGATTTACCTTCACTCACACCTGTGCCAATATTTAGTACAGCTGTACTAAATATTGGCACAACACCCTGTGGATTTCAAATATTTCCTAATCTCTTAGAATCCACTTAAATATTATTTTCAACATTTTAACTCTCATCTATCTTATATTATGAATAAAACATTGGATTATTCTAATCATATGCTTTGCTTTTTATTATGTTGAAGTAAGATTATTTAAATTTATATTTTTGTCTTATACTCCCGCATATTATAAGAGGTTTTGATAATGACAATACAACAAACTATTAATAAATCTACTTCACAAGCAGATAGCAAATCGAACATAAGTTTGAACAAGCACTATTCCATGAATTAGATTAAATGAAAATCTATGAAGATGCTATGAAATAGAATCTATCATATATGAAGAAAATAAAATCTATAAAAGTATGTTTAAAATATTCTTTTCTGCGTTAAAATTTATACATAAGTTCTCATCTAGTCAGATATTAGTTCAAATATCAATACCTGGTTGCATAGTGTATAAATACGAAACATCCTGTCTTGAAATTTGCCATCTATATTTTAACTTTCATGAGAAAATATACCAACATAAAAAAAGAACTTAATTTTGTCAAGTTAAGTGAACTATAGTGTACAGAAGATGCAAGTAATAACCTACTTTCAAAGGAAAAAATAAGTCAAGTTGTCTTTAGCATAGAACTGTATCAAAATATATTTATACCTGTGAACGCGTTTAAACTCGTAAAAGCAATAGCGAAACCAACAGAAAAACGCGTATATTTTGAAAAACTTACAAGTTTTAACAGGTTGCAGATGAGTTATGTGTTTTAACGCGTTTCAAAATTGCATAATAATGCCGTTTAAACGATACTATTTCGTTTAAACGCTGTTATTATAGAACCCTAACGCGTTTAAACGCGTTACTTTTTAACGTTTGTCTGCCTGGGCACAATTCTATTGAGGAAATTACTAAGATTGGTCATGAATCGTAGCATTCGTCAGGATGTTGCGATACATGTTAACATACACAATCACGATTGAGGGGCTCCTAGAACTAATTTCGACTTGATTTTCTTGAATGTCTTGAATTTCCAATATTTAGACGGTCGATATATTTTCTATTCATTTGTTACGTATAATGTCTGGTGTATTATAAAAATCACTATAGAATGATAAAATGATTAGATATAAAGATTTTTTTGTGTCTCTTTAGCTTCATATTTGAATATTGCTTGTTCATTTTCTAATTCATGTTGCTGTGTATTATGCAGATCTTGCATTGCTTTTTTTTGACGTCGTACTTCTTGTAAATTATCGTCTTCAGGATTCAAATCTTTTAAATATCGTATCATGATATCTGACTGATCAACTTTTTCTAATGCTTCAATATTTTGTCGAATACATTCTTGATTTTCCAATATCGATTTAATATCTGTTTGACAGAATTCAATCTATTTTTCAAGATCATGTAGTATTCTTCGAATATGTATAATATTAACAGCTTTATCGAAAAGTAATGTGGATATTAAATCATGTTTTGGTGTCCATGTTTGAATTTGCCTATCTGTGATTGGACTATAAAGCATTTGTCGAAGAACTTGTCAAATAAATTTATAGGCAATCATTTTATGAATTAAATTAACCGTTCTATTTTCTATTATTTTTGCTTGAACGAGATCAGGTACTTGTTTTTCTACGAATAATTCAAGTGCAGTTAATACAAATATTTTTTTACTATGTCTTGCTTGTTCATCAACAATAAATTCAATATCTTGTTGTGGTTCAAATTTTAGTTCAAAACGACTACAATCTTTTACTGATTTGATACATCTATTCTGTGTAGTAACAACATAACCACCTAAAGAAGAATCAGCTATATGATCAATATAAAATTTTGATATAGACCGATCTAAAACGGTATTTTTAATTAAATAACGGGTACGTTTAATATAAAGTTGTTGAAGACCAATGCCAATTGGAACAGTATTTGTATTAAGTTTACCAATTTCTGGATAAATAATATCAATACTTTCATTATGAACTTGAAGTGGTAATGGAATAGTACAAATAGATATAGTGGAATCAAAGCCATAACTTAAACAAAAAAAATATCACCTACACATAGTTGGTGAGAATCAAAAGTAGTTAACTAAAATCAGAATTTGGTACTCTTTTCGAATACGTCATCGGAATATTTCTCTGGTTTAGAAATTATTAGAAATGATCCCAATGTTAACAGTCCTACCTAATGTGTTCAGAGTATCTTTTTAACTTCAAGTTAGCCTTCACTTCAAGATAATAAACTAAGATAGGTACTACAGTTTGTAGAGCAAACTTTGCTCTAACAAACTAGTTGATGTAGATATCAAATAGTATTCACGTTTTACATTGAGTGGACTTTGCTCGGTCAAAATACAAAAATTTGTCAAATAAAATTCTTTACAGAACATCATTATCGACTGTGTCAAACATTTGGTTCAATCCTCAGCCAGAAAAATACTCTGATTTTATATGCACAAAGTGCACAACATTCTGATAGTAGTTAACTACTGACAAATGAATAAACATTTTGTGTCAAGTGTTTTGGAGCAGCAGTTAGATTAAATAAAAAAAATTAATCTTTTCTTGTGACTTTTACTGAATTAATTGATCATCGTTTGGTAACATTGTTGTAAAAACACATTGAGCAACAAGTCGTCCTCTATCTAATATAGCAATACTTCCAGGAGCCAAGACAACATCCATATTATTTTTCAAATGAACAGCTTTGATTGCGCTTAAATCATTGATTTTCGGATTATAGTAGAGAACAAATTGTGCATCCATTTGCCATCTGTTAATTGTTACTAGAGCACTTTCATGTGATCGAATAGTAACAGGTCTATTAATTGTATAAACAACATGCTCATGAAGACCACTCATTTCTCTAGTATCGATCGATTCGTAATTTCCAACATCATCATCTGTTTTGAGATTCGCATTGACAGTCGTTTTTTCATCTTTTGAAAGGATTGAATCATCATGACGAGCAACTGAACTACTTCGTGATCGAATAAGCAAACATAGAACAGACTCTAATATGAAGATATACCTATTTCTTTTAATTCTTTTCAGTATTAATAGTTTACCTTTTTGAATATTACAATCACTCAATGTTCTCTTATCTACTAATTCTTTTCCAGCATGTATGATACGTTGTTGATCTGGAGGAATACCTTCTTTATCTTGAATTTTGGTTTTCAATATTTCAATAGTATCAGATGCATTGACCTAATAATTTCAAAACATAAAACTTAACGATATTTTTAATGATATTCGTACTTGTATTGTAATTGTTTTGCCTTTTAATGTTCTAATAGAAATTAACATGTTGCCAGATAGTTTTTTCTCATAACTTCTTGCTTTTTCACAACTAGTAGCCACTATTGTTGACTTATTATTCTTGCAAATTTCAAGTTCATTAGCAACAAATACAAGGTCTACTTGAGACCAATCTTCTTCTGTCAGATTATTAATTGAACCGAACAAAGTTAAATCAACCTTGAAATTATCCTTCATCGATATAGATGAATCAATTTCGCATCGATATAAACATCGCCATGCTTTTGTTGCATAGCAATAGAATACTTTGAGTAAAGATGATTGCTCTGACATATTTGTAGCAGTTATGATTGAAGAACTCCGTAATAAATTATCCATTTTGAATAGAAGACGAACAGATTCGTAAGATACTTTATTTGATGGCATATGATTTTCTAAAATTTTTATTAATACTTTTTCTAGTTGTTCTTGTAAATATGAGTCAACAAATTTGATACCATTGATGAAAGCAACTAGAACAAAAACCTTTTTCAGTGCTTTTACGTAAAAAAAAGGATTTTACAATAAACTTACGTGCGAAATGACGAATAAATCCATTTGTAGTGAAAATTTGAAGTAAATATTGTGTTGTTGTTTTTGCTGAATTCGGATTGAGTATTGTTGGTATTTCATCAAGTATAATTAACTTACCAGATTGTTCTTTGCTAACATCTTTGATAGACAATACAACTTCAGCTGCAATACATGTGTTAAGAAACTTAGCAAATGAAGTTGCCGAAGCAAAATCTATAAACGTAAAAACATGTTCAATTGTTCTTTCGATAACTTGTTTATCGTGTTCTTCCGTATCGAATACTACTGAATCAACTATTGTACATAATGTATCAATCACTAATTGCTTATGCTTTTTAGCAACACGCAGAACTATTGGTACCTGGGTATCGACAATTATTCGTTCAAAATAACCCAAATTATTCTTATACAATGTAATACGACGTAAAGGAATTGTCGTAATTGACATTATTAAGCAAACGAAAATGACAAAGAAGAGAACGGAAGAAAAATCGTAATGAATAAGATTTTTGTTTTTTTTGAACGAGTATTTATACGTTTCTCTCATGTATATTACCTGAAGAATGTTGAGGTATGGTGCAATACAACAAAACAAATAAAAAATAAAAACAAGCGATGATTCGTTTTTCATATGAATCATACCTAGCATGAGCCGTACAACTATCTCACAAGACAATATTGTAATACTATATTTATATTTTGCCATTACAGAAGCAAACACGTCATTTGAATAAATGAAATTATTGAATGACTCATTAATGGCACTTTTCTTGTTCGAAGTTGACACATTTTGACAAGTACAGATTAAAAAAAATAACGAAATCTGATAATGCTGATATACAATTGTTAGTTATTCTAACTACAGTAAAGCATCTATTAGTGAACATCCTCTTCTATCGGATATTCTCCGTAATCTCGCCTATACGTATTGATATTGTCGATGTTAACATCGGTGAAAGGTACTAATTGATTGAATTACATGGTTGGAGCCGTGAAGAAGAGTATTTATCAAGAAATGAATTGGTTCTATGATTCAATTCAACCAGAGAAAAAAAGAAAAAGAATGAACAAACATAGATGGTGCTTCGTATTGCTCTTAGTTTACAGCAAAAATAATGAATTTAATCAACGATGACGAACTTGCTTTATGTCGTCGTGAATGACAAGATGAATTTCAAGTGTCCATTGGCACTTTATGAAATATTCTTAAAAGAAAATGATCAATTGATTATTAATTTGAAACTAATCTAAACTAAAAGATGAAGCACAAGATGAATCATGATTTTAGTTAAACTATCAATGATAATGTTTAAAACTGATTATATAGCATGTAAACAGCAGTCAAAAGGAGATAAAAGTTGATAGAATTGATATTTTTTATTTTATATTTGCTTGATTCCCCATTCTCCATGAACACCTTGGTATATTGAACGATTTTCGCTGGTTCGGATGGTGTGCACAATTTAGAGATTTGACGGTATTCACAAACACACTGAGTTTTAAATTGTATTTTTATTTCTTCAATAATAAAACATTATTAAAAGATTCTTTTCTAGTAAATCATACTCATTAATGAAAATTATTTATTAAATTATTATATATTCAATAAAATTTAAGAAATAGGTACAATTTTTCCAAGTCCTGTTGAAATAACTTTACTTGGTTTTTTTCCAGACGGTAATCGATAATAAACACTTGAAACACCAGTTGCTTCAATTTGAACATCATCTGTAGCTGCTACTCGTACTATACTTACTCCCATTGCTCGGACTTTTACTTGTTTAGTTGAGAAATTTAATGCATTAATATCACCGACTCCTTTAGCATCGAATATTGCCTGTTGTCGAGCTTGGCCCCAGAAACGACTATTGCCTGTACCAGTAAAATAAACTTGAAAATTATTAACATTTAATCGCATAGCAACATTAGCTACACCTCGATGATCTAATACAAACGTATCATTGTGATCATTTGATATTCCATTATCATCTGTTATTGTATTACCAGTACCTTTAATAGTATAACGACGTAATGGTGAATTAAATCGAATATAAGCATAGATATTTTTATCAATCATTAATTGACCTTTAATATGAATTGAAAGAATATGATTATTAACAATTTCAACAATAACACGATTTTGAATATCGACAGTTGTTTCAATTTCAACTGTAGGAGTAGAAATTCCATTTGATGTTTGACTTAAAAATATATCAAAAGCACCATCAATCATAATTTCATCAAATGATGATGATGATGATAGAGGACGAGTTTGACGAATAACAGTGTCATTTATTTGTCCTTGAACCAAAGAAAAATAAACAACGATAATAACTATACAAGATAGCATCTAAAACGATACATATAATTCTTCAAAATCTATCAAATGAAAAGAAAATTACTAAAAACTCATTTATCGTCACTTTTATTATTTAATTTTTCTATCTAATAAATTAATGTAACATACTTTGTGATGAAGAAAAGAAATACGAATAGATTTGAGAAATTTCTCTCAAAATATCATAGACTATTCGTAACAACTATTTTATTCAGATATAAATTAGTATAGCTTATATGTTGTGACGAAATTCTTGTTCATATGCACAATTGTTATGCATTCATCACTCATCTCAACTCTAATGTAGTGTTCTTATTTTGTGTATGTCGTAAGTACTTAAATGAAACAATACAAGAAAGATTGTATAATGTTCTTTTATATGTATGTGTATTATTGTATGTAGGTGTTTGTTGAAACAAAAAGGACTAGTTTTACCTTTAATTTAAGTCAATAGATAAGAGCTTAATCCTCTTTATCAAACTGTCTTTAACTTTCAGAGAAAAAAAAATCAATGATAGAAGCAATGGTCAGCAAGATAAAGCTTTTTTAAGTGTTCAATTTAAGTGACGAAAAAAAAGAAGAAAATTATTAAATTGTCTTTTGTTTAAGATTATCTATCATACTGCTGTTGATATGCATTATATGACTGATCGATCAATCACATAAAACATTTTGTAGTTTTTTTTCTTAATCGATTATGGAAGAGTCATATGTTTTCAAATGTCGTACACTTTCTTTTGTTTCTTGATCTGAATATCTGTTCGACTCTGACCTTTTTCTTCCTATTTACTTGTGCATATAAGTACACACTATTATTTATTATTATGAACTAAAATAATGTCAATGACGTCAATAATCCATACTCTTCAGTTTGTCTTCTTATGTCATGAAAATGTTCTATCGATGAATAATAGTTATTAATTTATTTGAAATGATTTTGATCGACTTAAAATAATATAGAATGATCAAAATGGATTCTCTGTGAAATTATATTATATTATCTTTTCTTTAACTATGGTATTTATATTATGTCTACGCAGCTAATATGCCATGTCATTAGAAAGAAAAATGATAATGTACATACAAAAGCATTACCATTGACACAGTATGTTTTCACATTCTTAAAATTTTTTTAAGAAAACAGTTCTTATTTTGATTATAACTTATCATTGTAACAGAGTTTGATGTTAAATAATAGATAAAAAATAAAGCATTTTTATAATGAATGATGAATCGAAAATAAATTGTACAATATGGATGTAATTTGTTATAATTGAGAAAAAGTTAAGATACAAAAAAAGCACAGTAATCATCATGATCAATCAATGAATGTCATTACTTCAGTTCTCATCTGCTCATGAGACATATATGTCATCTGACAAGTGAAAAACATTCATATTCAGGCATAATTGAAACTATTTTGAAATATACTGTTGATCCATGTTGCTGAAATATTAGTTTGAGAACTCAGTCTAAGCATTGAAAGTCGATTTCTGCCGTTTTTGAATCTATGACATAATGTATAATGAACGATATACATACTTCAGTTGAACCAAAGTCGCCAGAGGATCCTTACCATCAAAGTTATGCTGGCTATTTTTTTGTGGAAGAATAAAAAGAGGAGGAAAAGATATGAAAAAAGCAATCATAAGTTGTTATAAGAATAGTTTTTTTTTCATTTTGTTCTCTGTTATCTTATACAGAAGTCTGACAAAAATTGTAATACCATTAGGACTTGAATCCACGTTACCAGTGTCCAATAATTGAGACTGGCGCCTTAAATTTCATCTGAATAGTTCATAATTATTATATAATTAACGTACAATTTATGAGTGAGATTTAGAAGTTAATATTGAAATATTTGATTAAATAACTCGATCATACTGTCACAGTAACCCAAATAGTATGAATCGATTGACAAAGGGGATGCAACAAAAGAAATGATTTTATGGCAAATCTAACTGTGCTAAAAGACTTCTTTTTTTAGTCTTATAACTAATTGTGACATCCAGATTGACTACAATTCAACAAATGCCATCTTCTCGTTACTCGTGCTTTAAAAAACGTTGAAATTATTTCTCTTCTTTTGTCGATTTGTACACTTCATGATCTGCCTGTTTTTTTTCTTCTGATTTTGGACTTGCATCGACAATTCTTGTGCCTCGAAAAAATGTCTCAGTGTTGTTTATGATCTTGGACTGGCAAACCATTGGTTAGTGCACAAATGATAGGTGCATAGCTAAGATCGACAATTTAAGGATAACGGAACATCAATATACTAGTACAATCATAGACTATTTATATAACAATACTACAGACAAGGATAGAAGGTACAGATGATACATATCAAAACAAAAGACATTATATCATCAAGCTAGATAGTAAATGAAAAATCCAAACGTAAATGGTATGCTTTTATCGAACATAAATTGAGTTCGATGTTAAACATTGCATAAACTTCCTTCTGATCAATAAGATTCTAATATCATTAGTGGGAACAACAAATATAGATTTATTAAACGAAATAAACACTAAATGAAGTGTAAAAGAATCGAATTTTCGTTTCATTTCACAATGAGTTAACATGCAATCGATAATTATAAACTTTCTCATCATTGGGCAGATTTCAAAATGTCATTGAGCGTTCTTTTGTTTCGACAAAGTTTTTCATCGGCACACGTTTTGATGAGACGAAGATAGAGGTCGAAAAATTGTTTAGCTCGGTTGTCACTATCCATTTCATGAGCTAAGCACATGTCCAACTGACCATCGCCGGTACATGTGACAAATATTACTGTTGATTACATGTTAACCATGCAAGCGAATTTCTCCTTGATTATATTCGCGCGAGGGTTGTTTTTTCTAAGGTTTGACAAGTCCAATTCCGAATGGTGGCCATCAGGCCAATATCGAGCGAATTGGGCAAAACTCCGTTCATTTCTGACTACATCGGCTAATGTATTCATGACCAATGAAACACTATTACACTTCAATTGATATTTATCATACATTGTTCTGCTAAAGACCCAAATTGAGCAGATCGCATCGAAAGTGACTGCTGAAGTTTCAATTGGCTACTGCCAATAAAGAGCCCAACAGATGTTATTGTC